AATTAATTCTTTAATAGATTGAATTAGAAAAACTTATTGAAATTTATATATATAATTTTTGGCTTATTTTTATTATTGATTATGAATCATATTCATATGATTTGATTCACGATTCAAAATATGGCTCCACTAGTCTTCAAGAGGTCCAACTCTTCTTGTATTCTTCTAATCATAACTCTAGTGACTAAGTTCTTGGCCCATGGTCCATCAGTTTATATAATTTTTTAAAATATTATTATTATCCAAAGACAAAAGAGAAGAGATTGAGGAGAGTGGGGTTGTGTGCAGTGTAACAAGTGACTACTGAGTTAAGGTGCCACTTCTCAATTGGTTCAGTTCAATTCAACAACTAAATTTCAAACTTTTTCCTTTTCACAATCGAACTTGAGGATACCATCACCCATGAGTTTTCAAGACATCCAAGGTGGGTCCCACCCTCCCTCCCGCCGGACCCAGTCGCCGTCGCAGGCCGTCGCCGCCGGAATTTTTCAGATCAACACCGCCGTCGCTACTTTCCGCCGTCTCGTCGATGCCGTCGGAACCGTTAAAGACACTCCCGAACACCGTCAGAAGCTGTACCTTCGCCTTATCTCTCTCTCTCTCTCTATAATTTTTGGTTCTTATTTTCGTGTTTCTGTGTTTTCACCACGTTTTTTTTTCCATAGGCACAATACGAGGCAGAGGATATTGCAACTGGTGAAGGATACTTCTGCTAAGCTCAAATCGTTGACTGAATCTGATCGTGATGCTAATGCCAATGTATGCTTTGCTTCGTTAGTTTTCTTTTATTTGATGCTTCATGCGTGACTTTGAATTTTGTATTTGGAAAGAGGGAGAGGAAAAATACAAGAACTTGACTTCTAGTTTGTATTTGGAAATTTTCCAAGAAATTCAACCCTTGTTGAACCACAGAAACTAATAGTATGTATTGTACAATCACATGGATGAACAGGTACGGTGTTGTTTTAGGTTAACTAGTGGTATAAAATTCGAATCCTAAATATGCAGATGTGTTAAATACTTGGAGAAAGAATTTTTTTGCCCATAATGGTCTTACTTGGCTTGAACATGATTGTCAATCTGGTAGAAGATAACTGTGGTCTGTGCTAAAACATAACATGTTTTGTACCAAAAGTGAATTGATAATCCATTGAGATGCTTTCTAGTTTCGCAATTGACTTTTGGCCTTGTATTTGGTGCTCCAAATTTTCTGTTTCTTTAATTATGCTTGTAAACTGTGGATGCTAGCTATGGGGAAGGGGAAAAAATGTTTGGATGTTAGTTGATCCCCTGTGTTCTTCTTCATCAAACCCAGGCAAGTAAGAAAATTGAGGATGCTAAGCTTGCAAGAGATTTCCAGACCACATTGCAAGAGTTCCAAAGAGTACAACAGCTTGCTTCTGAGCGCGAATCGACTTATAACCCTGCTGCCCCTTCTTCTTTACCTACAAGGTCTATCCTTCTTTGTGTAATAGTAAAAATGAAAACTTCTAATTGTTAGGAAAAAGTGGTGCATGAAATAGTTAACAAAAGAGACAAACAATAAACTTTGTTTGATGAAAATACAAGGGTATGACAGAATAGATGGATAGTTATAATAATAACAAGTGTATTCGTGATGTTATTGTGCTAAAAACTTTAGTAACAATTAGTGTTTTTCTAAAGTTCAGTTTGAAAAAACTCCTTAATAAATACTTAAAGGAGAAGAAAATAAGAAGATAAAATGAATGAAATTTCTCTCGGTTAAAATCAATTTATGCACTGCAATTTTTATAAAAGCTCTCTAATCTAACCTCTCTAAGAGTAGAGATGTATGAATTGATTTTAACTTCCAAAGAAGTTTAATTCATTATACCTTTTCATTTTCTTCTCTGACAAGTGTTTATTTGAAAAGTTTATTTAAATAGAACCTAAGAAAATTACTTCTATACCGTTCAAATTCTAATCATGCCTTCCTTTTTCCCCCTTCTGATATAAATTCGCCTGTCATTTGTGTTTGTGAACAGCTCTGGTTCTGGTGAGGAATCGGTTGGGTTGGACGTGGAAAGGCAACCTTTTATCAGAGAGCAAATGAGGTAAGTCTGCAACATTTCAGCTATCTAATGGGACGAATTGAATTCTATTTAAGCATTATCTTATCATAAAATATAAATATGCATTTTTGTATGACATATATATGCGTTGTTTTTTGCTTATTCAACTATTGATTAAGTATAATTTTTCATGGTCTGATTTGCTTGATAAATTGATCACTAAAATAAAACTGCAGGCAAGAAATACTCCTATTGGATAATGAAATATCCTTCAACGAGGCCATGATTGAAGAAAGAGAACAGGGAATTAGAGAGGTAGAAGAGCAAATTGGACAAGCAAATGAAATATTCAAGGACCTAGCTGTTCTGGTTCATGAGCAGGGTGTTGTTATTGGTAAAAATAAGATTATTATTTTACTCGCTTCTTGTTGCCACAACATTTAGTTATTCTCTTCGTTCATATTCTATGCATCATTCTGGCAGATGACATTCAGTCAAATATTGATGCTTCTGCTGGTGCAACAACTCATGCTAGGGTCCAGCTAGCCAAGGCTTCCAAAAATGTGAAATCCAAAACCTCATGGGTGAGTCAGAAAGATCTTATCATATTAAATAAGCTCTAATAATGGTCAAACACAATCAATTTGTGGCTTCCCTCGAAGTGGAGCAAGTTAACTTTACAGACATTAGAATATAACGCCGTCAATTTCATGTATGAAATTTGGAATTTATTTTTCAGAATATGATCAATTTGTCTTATTTCTTACGAATGTTACTATTTGCACACTACCTTAACTTGTTAGCATTTGCACTCAACTAATTGGCTACTTACAGAAAATTATTCCAAGCTTGGAAGAAGTGCAAGAATAGCATGCAACATTATTTTTTACTAGTAATGTACTAATGTACACCATTCTTATAATATCTGACTTCTCATTATATATTTCTTACATTGCAGTGTTGGTGGGTGCTTGCAATTTTTGTGGTCGTGCTGATCATCTTACTCGTTTTACTCATTCTTTAGTGTGCAAGTGCATACAAGCCGGACAGATTTTCATTCCTTCATTGTTACTTTTTCGAGATTGATTTAAATTGATGAATCTTCCCATATTTTGTGAGTGTTTTTGTGGTGTGAAGAGTGTTTTGTCCAAAAGAAATATGTTTAGAGAGTCCTGCAATACAGTTTGATATGTTGACTGTGCATTGCAGCTGGAAGTTGGGAGTGAGGTGAAGCGATGTTAAGAAAAGTTGTCCTCTATTTGTAATATATAGATTTGCAATGTAGAATTTGTAGTTGTTTAAACATGAATTCACAAGCCATGTACAATGAATTAACAAGTTCTTGATGGCAAGTTCTTGTCCTGTGTGCATATGTTAACATCCATTCATTTTGCATTGTCTGGTGCAATATAATATGAGTTAATCACCTATAGACTGTTAGTGTAAAGTTTTTTTAAACTGACAATCAATTATATCTTTAATTGTGTCATCTCAGTATAAACACATTTACTTTTAACAGTGACATGTCACAATTAAAAGATATAATTGGTTGTCAGTATAAAAAATTTTTACTGGCAGTATATATGTGATTAATTCATATAATATTCTCTCACAAGCCATACTTTTTTTTATTACTTAACTGAGCTTGCTTTTCACTTGAGCCGCGATTAAATTGCAGATGTAGCAATATCAAGTAATAACAATAGAATTCTCAATTATGTGGGAAAAAAAAAACCGAACAAACATAATTTCTCAATCATGAATCATGAAATAAATGTTAAAATATGAGGTAATGCAATGTATATAATTTTCCAAAATGTTCTATTATGAAATAAATAAATTTAAACTCAGCGACAGACATACATGGTTATAATATTACGTATGTAATTGGGATTATTAGCATTTATATCCTCTTTGTCTGTTTTCATTACTTACTGGTCACTTTTCATTATTAACTTATGAATTTTGTTCTATTAAATTGTTATTTAGATAAACTTTTAATAACTATGTAATTATTTATCGATTTATATTTAATTAAAGTTAGTTAAGTAATTATAATTAAAAAAAATTGCAAATAATACAGATAAATAATATGTAATTCAAAGTGCAAATAATTGCATGTGTTACTTTAATATATATAATATTTATGTGATGTACATATGAATTTTTATCATGGATAGTTAGTATCGCATGAATCTCAATATGATTCATGCAATATAATATGATTGAAATGATGCGAATGATATCATGAATTATTTTTGTTATTGTATCATATTATGAATCATAGGTATATATGAATCATTGAAATCACAATTTTGAAATGAATTATATTATTTATGAAGTTCTAAGCCACCTTGAAAATAGATCATGTGATTCATTTTCTTTAAATCCTAAAGAAAGATTTTTTTTCTTTTCAAAAAGTTATGTCAAAAGGGAGGGAATTAGTCGATATTTCCCTCCCCAAGGAGACCTATGTTGTCCCCTCGATAGAAACACGATTTCATGGTATTCTTGTCTTGTTGATCATTTCATCATGCTACTAGTTCAATGTTGAAACTTGAAAGGACTTCTTTTGTTTGTGTGATGGTTCATTGTTGAACTTTTGTTTTGTTTGTATGATGGTTTCTTTCCCTCACCAACTAGTTTGGTGTTGTTGGTTGATCCATTGTAGTTGTCTTATCTATTGTTTGGTTTTATTAATATTGGCTAATGGTACCATATTTTTTTGTTGTTGGTTGTTGGTCCTTTCTTTATTTTTGCTATTGGTTGGTATTCTTTGTTGATTGTCCCTATTTCTATTTGTTGTGTGGATTTTATTGAAGAATGGCTCAAGCAAAAAAGGTGGTTAATATTACATGGCAATATTGTGAAAGTATACCCCAAATAGAGTTAAAGTTAAATGTAAGTTTTGTTCACAAGTTTATTCGGGATGGAATTGTAGGGATGAAACATCATTTTGCTAGAAGATAGAAATATTTGAGTGTTTGTAGAAGGGTTTTGAATGATGTTAATGAAATACTTATCAAGCTATTAAAAACTAAAGAAAAAAAGAAAGAAAGAAAGAGGGAAATAACACTAAATGTTGGAAAGAAGTAGCAAAAGAAAAGGAGAGAACATCTAAAGTTTTCACACTAAAGACAATGAATGAAGTTTGTAAAGATAGATATGTAATTCAAAAAATTTGTAATTGTAGTCGTGGCAATGCATTACCATTTTACTTGGTAAGGATTTCTTTTTTTGCTCAAATGTTGAAGTTTGTTGGAGAATATGGTAGAGGTTTGAAGCCTCCTACTTATCATGAGGTGATGGTATCTTTTTTGAAGAAAGAAATTGACAACATCCAAAAAAAAGTCTTGAAAAATATAAAAGTGAATGGGAGAAACGGGATTGCACCTTGATGTGCTATGGTTGGATGGATGGGAGAGGAAGATCACTCACTAACTTTCTAGTTAATAGTCCAAGTGGGACTATTTTTTTTTTTTAAAAAATTTGGCAATACTAGTGATGTGATAAAGGATGGAAAGAAATGTTTGAGTTATTGGACAACATTGTGGAAATTTTTTAGACAGGAACAAGTAGTCCAAGTTTTGGCGGATGGAGCTTCTAATCTTGGATTAGCTAGGAGATGTTAATGGATAAGAAAACCAAATTATTTTGGCCTCCTTATGTAGCCCATTGCCTTGATCTAATCCTTGATATCAGAGAGTTTATGGTATTCTATAGGCATATATGGGTCCTTAACTTGTATATGAAATATTCTAAAATGAGAGAATTGGCAAGACCAACTGTGACAAGGTTTGAAACTTCTTTTCTAGCACCAATTTGCATTAAGCAACAAAAAAAATGCTCTTAGATCTATTTTTGCACAGGAGGAATGGGCTACTAGTCCACATGTTAGTAAAAGTGAGGCAAAGCAAGTTATGAATCTAGTGTTGAGTGATGATAAAATTTGGAGATCAATCACATGTTGCCTAAAGTGTGTGATTCCACTTACAAAAATGTTAAGACTTGTAGATGGTGATTCAAAACCATCCATGCCATACATTAATGAAGCAATGGATAGGGTTAAAAGAGCAAATTTTTTAAAGTTTTCAAAACCAAGAGTCAAGGTATAAAAAAAGTGTGAAAGATTGTTAACATTAGATGTAATTCGCAACTACATAGACCTCTTCATGTAGTTGCCTATTATCTCAATTCCTGGTAAGTTATTTACAACTAATTTCTCATTTTGTTGCCTATTATCTTCTTTGTGCCTCTAGCAACTTATTTCTTATTTGGTTAGGTATTATTATGACCAAAACTTTAATCCAAATAGTGAGGTGTTGATTGCTCTATATGAAACCTTTCAAATAATGGTTTTAGATACAAGGAAAAAGTTAAAATGGATTAACAACTTGAAAATTTCAAAGAGGCTTAGAAATTTTTTGGAATGGACATGGAAATAGCTACTAGAGATAAAAAGCAATTGAGTATCTTTTTAGTCTTTACAATTACATTCATTATAAAGTTAGCAATAACTAATTTTCATTATAATTTAATTATACTCTTTTTGTTTTGAGCTCTTATGTAGGAGAGTTATGGTGGAGGAGGTAAATAGTTGCAAAAGTTAGCCATGAGATTTTTAGTCTCACATGTAATGACACAAGATGTGAGAGAAATTGGAGTGCATTTTGATCAAGTACATACTAAGAGAAAATATTGATTTGATCCACAAAGATAAAATGCATATGCTTTTGTTTAATATAATTTCAACTTGAGATGAGGCAAAAGTAGCGAAGAGAAGGTAGATACCTATGATTTTATATGCTAGTTGGATGTTGAATCAAATGATGAATGGATCATTGAAAAGGAGGATCCTTGCTTACTTATAAATGTTTCATGAATTATTCGTACATGAGTTTTTTGATGTGAAAAGGGAGCTCCAAATAAGAAAAGGAAGAAGGGTAAATATTTCTAAATTAGAACTCAGAAGAACTAAAACTAGACCTAATTCTTTTTCTTTTGATTCGTAGATCTATAAAACTTGAATGCCAATATCGATAAAGGGAAATCCATAGTAGGAGACGAGGATGACATTGTAGATAATAAAGAATCAAAATAACTTGTGAAATTAGGAGATGAAGATGATTTGAGTGATGTAGATCTTAGGAGTCATGAGCGATCTTAGATAGGAGATATTATTTTGAGTGGCAACAACTACTACTATTTATTAAATCTGTGCAGCAACAAAACTTTTCTGTGATTAGTTATATTGTTGAATTTGTGCAACAAAAAAGAACCACCATTTTAATAGCAACATCACTTGTTTTTTTTTTATTGTGTAGCACCAAACGATTATTGTCTTGCTGAATTTGTGTAGCACACATCCACTTTTTTTTTGGACATTGTGGTTGTTTTCATTTTATCTAATTGGTTCTTTATTTGTCTTGAAACTTATATATATAATTTTTGGCTTATTTTTATTATTGATTATGAATCATATTCATATGATTTGATTCACGATTCAAAATATGGCTCTTAAGTTTATTTTTTTTCTTCATCTTTGTGAATGTGTGCGTCCCTATGTGTTTGTGAAATTATAGTGATGACAATAAGATTTAAATTTAAAATCATGTGCATACTATTTCAACAATCTCTATAATGTCAATCTTAGTGATTTATTTTGTCTAGTATATCATATTTTTTTCACATTAGATGGAAAGTTACAAAATTATTACTTTAATTAAATAGATTTTAAGAATTTTAAATTTTAAAATAAATAATTATGAATTTATTATAATTTTCTTTGTTCTTTTTCATTAGAAACACAAGTATATTTTTAAAAAAGACAATCTTATTCAAATTAAACAGAAAAACTATAAACAATAAAATTTTCTTCCTAAGTAAAATGAAATTATATACTTAAATTCAAACTTTTGATTATATATATATATATATAATTTTAGTTGTTATTATTTAATATAACATATGTTCTAGAATTAATTTGATATTTAGAAAAATTAAAATATTTTAGTAATTCAATTCATATCATAAAATGATAATATAAAAAGTCAACTTAAAACCAAAGTAAAATAAGTTTTGTAAAGCTTTTACGTATATGATATTTATATTTTTGAAGTATTATTTTTTATAAAGAAAATATTTTGTTTTTGAATTTTTAAATTAAAATATATATGACCTTTTACATGTCATTCTTATTCTCCCAAGACAAAACGTCATAATTTCTCATATTAGTTTAATGCAATATAATCCTAATTTAGAGAATAACATGTTGCGTTCAAGATGTCGTGCACGTGAAATTAAATATGCATTTATTATTACAATACATAATATATACATTTACTATATTTAATAGTATAATAAATATTTTTTTTTATTTATCAAAATTACTAGGACTATCAATTTTAACTCAATAGATTTTAAAAAGATATTCTAAATAGAGAAATTATTTTAATTTGAGGAGACAAATAATTTAGGATCAAGTTGACCTGTAGACTTGAAGTCGGTCCAATCAAAAATTAAAAATAATAATTAAATAGTAATAGATATAGTAAGATATAACAAATAATAAATATTAGACGAGATTGAATAAAAAAAATTTGTGAAGATGAAGCGATCAAAGATATGACAAGAAGGATGAAAATCAAATTTGGAAGTATTTGATTGAATGTTGTATCAAACTTGCATTTAAATGTGTTATTAACTTTAAGGCAAAGTTGAATTTCAAAAGTCTTTTTCTTTTTTATAAAGATTTTATTGCTAACTCAAAATACAGTCTTGGATCTCTCAAAATTTTAAGTTTTAATGATAACAAATATAATATTTTTATAAGAGAAAACATTATTTCAAAATGTTAAACAAATGATGTGTCATCACACAGAGCATACAATCTAGCTTCATAAAGTCTTATATACATAATGTTTATAATGAATAACACTTACTTGTTATATGTCTAAATTAATTCTTTAATAGATTGAATTAGAAAAACTTATTGGAACTTACAAATTTGTTAAAATGAATGAATTCATACTTTGCATAAAAAACAAGGACAAATAGATTATAAAATAATTTAGAAACTATTAGGTTGATTTACTAATATATCATTTTCTTATGTTTATATCTTTTCATGTAAATTTGTGTTGAGAATGCAATAAGTAATTTGTAATCTTATTGAAAATCTTCAAAAATATTAGTGGTTGTCTTTGTCCTTGTCCTAATCTAAATTTCCTAACAAAAATGTTTTTTTTTATAGTATGTATAAGTATTAAATGATAACTTCCTTTTTTTTTAATAAAGAAATACAATTATTTTTAATCGAGTTTCTTCTATAAAAATATAATAATACTTTCGGTCACAACTCATATTTAAGTCAAAAATTAAATTCAAGTTACTGATCAAAGAACATAATTATTGAATCACTTATACTAATAACTTTTGTATTAATTGAAATAAAAGAAAAAATATTTTTAATTCCTCTAAAACTTTTGACATGTGGTTTGGTCAAAGTTTTTTTTTAAAACTTTTTTAATTTTTTAATTTAAAAATACATCTTTTTAAATTTTTAATATAAATTAAATAATATTAAAAATAATTATAAAGTGTTATCTAAATTACTAAAAGAACGAAAATGGAAGAATTGTTTTTTAAGTAATTAAAAAAATCATATTTTAATTTTTTTAAAAAAAAATATAATGTATTTTGTGGAGGTATGTAGAGAAGGGGAAAGGAAAATAAGATAGGAAATTGATTTAGGGGTTTTGAGAGAAAAGAACAAGAGAAGAGGGGGAGGGAAAGGGAAAGGGAAAGGGAGGGAAAAAGTCGTAGTTGTAATAATAAAAATTATATAAGAGAAAAAGCGAAAGAGGAGGAGAAGGAAGAAGAAGAAGAAGAAGAAGATGTAATAGTAGTAAGTAAGAAAGACGAAAGAGAAGAGAAAAGTGAGAAATAAGATGGGGAGTCTAATGTACCAAGTGATATCCTCGGTAGCACTGTTGACGCTGGGAGTGTACCACCTGGTAAACAGCACCCGCATGTACCTGAAAACGCCACACACGTACGTGGCCAAACCCTTCCACCCATTCCCATTCTACCCTCGCCGCCTCCCGCTCTACCTCGCCCTCCTCTTCCTCACCCTCGCCATCGCCCACCACCTCCTCCTCTCCGCCGACGCCGACCCCCTCGTCAAGGGCGCCACCCCCGTCCACCGCCTCTCCTCCCTCCAGGCCGCCGCCAACCTCTTCCTCTTCCTCATCCTCGCCCTCTCCCTCCTCCTCTCCGACGCCTCCCCCTCCCTTCTCCCTCTCCCCTCCGACCTCTCCTTCGCCCTCGCCGCCGCCCTCTTCCTCCTCCACGCCTCCCGCGCCTCCGCCCGCGCCGCCCTCCAGACCTCCGCCATCGAATCCCACTGCCTAACCATCGACGGCCGCCTCTCCTCCCTCTCCGCCCTCCTCTCCCTCCTCCTCGCCGCCCTCCCCCGCCTCTTCCCCGCCGACGCCGCCCTCGCCGCCGCCTTCTGCCTCCGCGGCCTCTGGGCCCTCCAGACCGGCCTCTCCCTCTACGCCGACGCCTTCATCCCCGACGGCTGCCACCGCCTCCTCGACGTCGCCAGCGGCGTCGAGGGATCCACGCAGTGCGATCTCGACGACTCCAAGCTCCGCGCCGTCGCGATCCTCGATCTCGCGTTTCTCGTCCACGCGATCTTCGTTCTTCTCCTCGTGCTGCTTATATACGCTCTCGTTGCCAGAAGCGTTGGGGTCAGGAGGCTCGGATCCTATGAGCCGCTCCCCACCGTGGCTTCTCCTGCGGACCCAAACCACACTCATATTCAGATGAAGGCTTTGACCGGCACCCAGGCTTGAATCTTTTCACCTCATTAGTTACTTCTTATTTTCTTTATTTATTTTTCATATTTCTCGGCCATTCTTATCTGATCAGAATGTAGGGAACGACTCTGTGAATACAACATAGTATTCCTGTTTTGCCACTCGGATGATTCGTTATCTAGTTCAATTTTGTTTTCTTTTTTTTTTTTTTAATTTCCTAAAAGCCCTTTCGTTTTACCTTTTGGAATCTAGTTTGGAGGGTGGGTAAATGGAAATGATGATCACTGTCGTCGATTTCATCTGAAAATTGAGTGATAATGAATGTAGGGTAGGTCATAGGTGACTGCCTCGCCTTTATGAAAAAGTGAAAGTCTTGTGTGTCTTGTGAGTGTGGACTTTAGTTTTTATATTATTGAGATGGTATTGTCTCAAGATCACATAGCTTTGGATACAAGTTATTTGAAAGTTTCTCCAATGGAAAATATTTTTATTTTCGGTACAGAGACTTTTAAAAGTTCTTTTAAATTTGTATCCAAACAGGCTTAGAGTTTATTTACATACGAGTTATTTGTTTGATGAATTGTTGATTTTACATCTCTGTAAACTAGACTGAGTTGCCTTGGAATTATAATTGCCTGTCTACACTCGCTCCATGATCTTTAACTACCCCTTTCAGATGGGTAAGTGAAGTGAGAGTGAGACTATTGAATTTTCATGGATGCTAAGGTTGGATTAAGGACCTCAAACCAGTCATTTATTGAGCCTAAGGTTCTCTGTGTTGTTTGTTTCGCTTTGGTCTGATGCTGTTTTGGAGGCATGTCTTATTGGCTTGTAATTTACTTGGGTTCTTTCTCTGCAATCTGTACGGGATTAAGGCAATGGCATGATAACAGTTTTATGTGGAGTATGAAATATCATAGCAAGGGGACAGAGCTTCAAAAGAAAATGAGTACGAGTTAGTGAACTACGCATGTTTTACTTGATAGAAAATAAGTTCGGTCATACAATTTGTCATTGTAGATGAAATGAAAGATATTTGTGCTTGATGTTCTAGTTTATTACGGCATAAGGTAGATTAGCCATTTATGTTCAGTCTATCTGACATAAGCAAACAACAACCTGTGAAATGCACATGAAATAAACCTGCCTTTTTTTCCAGCTGAGACCATGTGATTATTAATATCCCTCTTGCGATCCAGCATAAGTTACGGTTCTTATAGCACATGAAATGCAATTTTTGGAGATGTGTATGGGGTACTTTATAGTTTATACATGGATTGTTAGAGGCTTAAAAGCACAATATTTCCTTCTTTCTTCAACAAATGGATCAATGAAGCATACGTATATAGAATATAGTTGTAGATTCCAAGCATGGAAATTGTTTGTCCTTAGCAAATTACAAAACATGAATTTTGAGTCTGTTTGGATACAAGTTAGCAACACTTTTGAGAACTTTTCTACCAAAAACAAAGTATTTTCTAGTAGCAAAGTTTTTAAAGGTACTTAATATTCAAACAGACTCTTTATTAACAATTTGGTACTTGGTTTAGAGCTGAACTTGCTGCTGTAGCCACTAGATTTCTTTTCTTGTGTTTTCATTGAACTGCGTATATGACCCTGATGCACCAAGCTACAGTGTTTCGTGCATTCTTAGTGGTAAAAGTGGCATGCTTATATTGGATTTGATTGTTTACTACATAATTCGTGCCTTAATACTAGGGAATCAAGATCAGAGAGCATAAAGAATTTTATTTGACAAGGAGCCTATGATGCGAAGAAGATGTAGGGCTTTTAGACAATCCTTAAAAATACATAATTCTGATTGCTTCAACTGTCATGCTTTGTTGATGGCCTAATTAGTAGCTTGGTTGTCCACTTGCGTAGCATTAGAAAATGTTTGAATTGAAGCAAACAACTACGTCAGTTAAAAAAAAGGGGGAAATTTATGGAAAATTCTTTTATGACGTGTAGAAAGTTTTTTTTTTTCTCCTTCAGCAAATCCACCATTAAAAATATTTTGTTTATATTTTGCGTCTAACTGAAAAACTTGAGTTCGACTTGTTTAAAAATAAAATAAAATAAAGCTTAAGCCGGACTGTTTACTTATTTATAACTAATTATTTTTTGTTTTTATGAAATTTTTTTATTAAAATATTTTCCACTGTTATCAATTCAGTATTTAATAAGCATTTTATAGTAGATGATGACCTTCAATTAAAAATATGTGCTCAGCATATGGTAAGTGGAATTTAAACACGATAGACTATTATATTTTTCATGAATAAGCATAAAAGAAAAAAATCATAACTTTTTAACTACTATAACAAAGAAACTTCATAGTTAACTTTAACGCTCTTAATAAAGTTTTACATATTTTCAGAATGAACATATAAATAACAAAGGTTAGTAAAATTCTCTTCAATTTAAATAAACAAGTTACTCGTGAGACGTTAATATTTAATTTGTAAAGTTTGGGCCTGTCTCTTTCAAGTAATCGTGTTCAAACTTGAATTTGTTTGTTTAATCGGAAGAACGTGTTTCATTAGCATTTAATAAGTTGAGCTTGAATAGAATGTGAATAGTTAAACATATTTTTATTTGTGGTATCACGTCAACATATATCTGAAAAAGTAAATCCTAAATTAAAAAAGTATATTTATCTTAAAATAAATGTTAAGGAACTAAAGATAATTTTTTTACTTTTTAGGGATGAAGAAAAAAGATCTTCACACAAATAAAATTTGTTCATTTTCATAGGGCCACAAGCTCTTATTTTATTTATCAAAATTATAATGCCGACTAAAGGCAAAGTTACTTATGTAGTTAAAGGTTTTGACCCTCCTTGGATTTTTTAAATTTTCTTTCTTAATATATATATATATATATATTAATTATAGTATAATGTATTATATTAACAGCTAATATATTAGTATTTATTAGTAGTTATATAAGTTATTTGGATATGATGTATTTAAGTTTTTTTTTTAATAATTAATAATTTTTAGACCGCAGAAAGATTTGGACTTTTGTTATATTAAGAATTAGAGATTCTATTAATGATTACTCCATGAGAGTATTAAGCAGCTAAGAAATCATTTTCTCGGACAAAATCCATAACAATCATGAGACGGCACGGTATCTGTATGATGCACTGGTCTGCATGATGCCACTTTAGCATAGGTGGAGGCCCATTATTTATGTTCACTGTTATGTAAATACTTAATTATAGCAATTTTTTAAACAAAAAAGATGGGTCAAATTCAAAAGAATCATGCACAGTTTTGAACTGTGTTAGTAGTACCGTTGTTAGGTTTTTGTTTTACCCAAGAGCATTCGGACCCATTCATGTACACTCATAAAAAAAAACATACTGACTGTACTTTACCAAAAAGAATAACGGGTCCCATTAAATGTAGCAGGTTTACAGACCGAACAAGTTTGACCAAGATCCAAACAAAAAATACCACACATCTAAAACATAAATGAAAAAAAAAAATATATATATATATATATAATTTTTAAGCATTATTTATTTCTTTAGTTGAAAAAATGTTTTATTCTTTTTATTGTTTTAATTCTAAATGTTTTTTTAGTCAAATATTTTATTTTTTTTCTGATTTTCATTGGAGATAATTACAATTTTTTTTCTATTTTCTATCATTGATATTTTTAATTATCTCTTTTTCATTTATAATTTTTTAAAGGTTATAAATGATTGTGTTTCGGATGAATCTATTAGGCTTTTTTCATGTATGATTTTTTTTATGTAGGAAAGATTATAATGAAGGTGATAAAGTTTTATCTTAAGATTTTGTACATATTATCTTAACTCTTATTATTAGTGTGATTCTAGTAATTTTCTTTTGTATGAATTTGATTTTAAATTGATTTGAGAATTAATTATATATATATATATATTAAAATTCATCAATAATTTATATTATATAAGATATTGACACTTTCTTTAAAATAGAGATCAATATCTTAAACTTAAGTCACATAATTAAAAAAAAAATTATACTGTCTTCATTTTTCTTGTTTCTTCATATCTAAACAATATAACATTTTTCTTTTCTTCTTCGATTGTTATTGACTATTATTGCCGTAAAAAATAATTTAGTGAATATCACAATTCATTTTGATTTAGTAGAGTTTTATATCAATAATATTTTTTCGTAAGAAATTGTGATTAAGTATATATATCAAGTTCATTATAAATTTATAGAAAGATGTTAGTAGCACTTGAAACTAATGATTCAAAAATGTAATTGTAGATAGTGACGGATCCAGAAATTTTAGATAGTGGGGACAATACTTATTTATATATTTGCAGTATTAAAAATTTTATGTATAATTTTTAAAGACACAAATACATATCATAATTATTTTTTACAATCTTTAATATCTATGATTATAATTAAAGATGAAAATAAATTAGATCAGACTAGATTTTATTACAATTTAGTAGGTTTGAATCTAAGTTTTTTTAAAAATATATATTTTAAATATGACTTATTTATCTATCATAGACATTTTTTAAATGTTTGGGTAGAATTATAATCCTAAAGACCTACTTTATAATAATTTAATATTATTAAAATATAAGAATAAATATGTTAAATTTTATAAAAATCAAGTTTAATTTATTTATGATATAAACATATTTTTAATATATAATATATATTTTTAAATGATAATTTATTTTAAAATATATTTTATAATAATAATTCTAAATGAAACATAAATCTTCCAATTTTTTTATTTTTATTTTTCAATCAACATATACAATTTTATTCTTTTAATTTTTTTAATCAACATATACAATAAATAGAAAAAATAGAAGGTAAATATGTATATTGTAAATTTTATTTTATCAAAAATTGATTTTTTTAATATATTACATTATATATGCAAGTATTAAGATAAATGTATATATATATATATATTATAATTAAACTTTTTTTTAAAAATTATTCAATATTAATGAGTATTATTTATCACATAAAAGAATTAATCTATTTTAAAATTTGACAGACATCAAATAAATAAATATTTTCTCCGAATCTATATTTTATACATATGATAATTTAAATATATATATTTATCTTATTAAAATATAATTTTTATTTTTTAAATAAAAATTATGTATGTGTCAAATAGTAGTGGGGGCAAGCGCCCCCACTCTCCAAAACGTGAATCCGTTCGTGATTGTAGACATTTCAAAAATTATATATTTAATTTGTTGTCTATGTAAACATATTTTTATAAAAAAAATTGTAAAGTATTTTGGAAAACAATTATAAACATTTTTATATATAAAAATTGATATTCATATATGTATTAAATAAAATAATAATAATTTTATAATTGGCCCCTGCTGTGTGTTAGGCCTAGCTCCCTCCCTATAATGGCGCTAAGATTCGAATATGTGACTTTGCATATTACCTTAATTTTCACTGCTAGATAAAATTTAGAATTATGAAACTTGAAGTTCTTTTACAACAATCAAAGCTTAACTCGTCATAAGTTTAGCATCATTTTGTCTCCTATGGATTTCTCTGCTGAGTTAAGCAGCTAGGGTTACTTTTATCAATTTAGTATTAAAAAATTAATAAATCTCTTACTAGTCAAATTGCAAATGTGATTTATCGATTATCACTTTCTGTTTTATAACAAAGCCAAGCATCGTCGTTTTGTAACATGGTAAATTCATTGGCAATTTTCATGTGAAATTTGATTGATCGAAGACTTCATGCTTATATAAAAAGTTTTAGTTAGTAATAATAAGTTTGCTAATTTATTCACTTGCTTTTTTTTTATTACAGCTTTATTCACTTGCTTTTAGAAATTAGCAACTCAACATTGGAATAATTAAAATACTTTTAAAGGTATAGCTTTTTAAAGCACGCCTAAAAAATTGGTGGAAGAATGTTGGTATATTTTCACTTGTTTTGATATTTTAACTGTTGAGTTTGATTTGTTAAAACTCTTAAAAGTGTCCCAAGTGTATCTTGTTAACACGCTCCTAACAACCCTCAAACCTTTTTTTGTTTTTACAAAGCTCTAACAAAGGTTCTTTTAATTATTAAGTTGGTACAACAAGAAAAGTGTTGATGACCGGTACAAAGACTAAAAATATATATGATATCATTATCAGATCAACCCGCAAGAGATAAGTCTCACGCTAAAAGCATTGAAGATCAAATAGCTAAATATTGTTACATTATAAATTACACTATAAACTCAAGTTGAGCATGCAAAAAGTGAATTCAAATTCACCCTAATTATTCGTATGAAAATTTTGGCCAATCTTAATGGCAGCTTAACTACTTCCACCAACATACAACGAACTACATAAAGATAAGATGCGATTCCCCGCAGCCCATACATTGTTTTCGTAAATCATACTGTGGTTTATTTCTCAAAATACAATCAGATAAAAGCTCCTCTAAAGATATAATATAATTTAACAAAGTCCTACAGAATAGAACTACAGCAATTTCTTTTTTCGTTTTCTACAAATAATAGGAATCATGAGGGAATCTTCACTGCTACTTTATTTTAAAATGGGGAAGTGATATAGTACACAGAAGACAACCAGAATAGAAGGCATGACATCTCATTTTATTTTATTTTTCCTATTTTGGTTGTCGCAAAATTGTTGTATTCCCTGCAGTACGACCTTTCAGGATGATTATAGTGATAACAAATGGGAAGCATACCGGTGAAACACGTAGATAACCACCTGTTGCACATTCACTGAGGCAATTTGAGAAAGCATGTAGCCCTGGCCCAGATGACTTAAGTTGCAAAAGAATTCATATATCACCACCTTCTGCAAGCAGCAATAAATGTTGAGTCCCCGCAAATTGGTTTCATAATAGAAATTTCGGACAAAAAATTCAATCTCCTTTAGGAACAGAAGAGAGCCTGAGACTTAAACTTTAGCCCTTCAACCAGTCTCGGAAGTAGGATTGCATCTTTTCTCGATTAGCAGCATTCCCGGCATTCACAGTCGGGATTATCTTGTCAGGCCTCAAAAACTGTGAATATAAAGATATAATCAAAAGAAAAAAAAAATAATGCAATTTTGTAATTATCAATAAAAGTATGAGTTAATCACCTATACACTGTCAGTGTAAAGTTTTTTTACACTGGCAACCAATTATATCTTTTAATTGTGTCATGTCACTATAAACACATTTACTTTTAACAGTGACATAGCACAATTAAAAGATATAATTGGTTGCCAGTGTAAAAAAACTTTACACTGACAGTGTATAGGTGATTAACTCTAAAAGTATTAAAAAAAGTAATCACAATATTCAGTTGTGGACCTGAACAAAATCTCGCAGTTCTGTGAAGCTGGAGTGCTCACTGTAGGGAACCCCTGGAAGAAGGAAGAAGAGAGAGACTCATAAACTGTACTGCTATGCTAGATAAATAACTATTGCTACTTCCATTTCTTTTTAGAAATCAAAACAATATTGATAATTATTTTGTCAATTATATCTTTACCTTCACCTAGGTTTTGATTACCCCATTTATCATGAATTTAAAGTGAGATAAAATGAAAAATAATAAATGATAGAAAAACTAATTAACAAGATAAATCGAAAGTATAATATAATCATATAGAAATGTTAATAAACATGAGAACAATAATCATATTTCTTAATTCTTATGTCACAACCTTAAACAACACTTTAAAACCAACAGAAGTAGTACAAGGGCAGCAGAGAATAAACAAATTAAAAGCCTGTTTGACACTCAGGACCATGACCTTTAGAAACAGATCGTTACTGTTAAGAAACAGTACCCTGATCCTCCATGATCCAGTCCGGTGCATTTTCAATACAAATATGCACTAATAACAAGTTCATATTTTATATCAAAATGGTTGTAGAAATGCTGTTAATCTTACCATACGTCGTGATATTTCCTTTGGAAACAGGTTTAATTAGTTCCAGATCGTTGCGTGTCTTCTCACTGAAGGTCCAACCTAAAAATATGAAGATGAAGTATTGACACTTGAATTGAACTACTCTGTCGCCACAAATAGCTTCTCTGTTGATAACTTAAAAATACCAAGACGATTCAGAAATTAATTTTATCACAAGTATAGATAAAATACCTGTTGGACGAAACGCCAAAATTGCTGTGAATTGCTCCTTGTAGGTCTTCAAGTAATCCTTTAAGGTCTAGTGTAACAAGTAAAAACATGAATTATAATATAACACCACAAAATTTTAAGAGGAAAAAGACTTGAGATTAAAATGTAATGGCACAAAATTAAACCTCAAATCTCAAAGATGACATGGGCAGAACATGGAGAAGTGTGTTATTTCCCTTCGTACAGAGACTATCTGAAAGTTCAGGCCAACCAAAAGCTAGCAAAATCCGCCTCCTTGAAGCATTCGCATAAATTTTTACCTAAACCATAAAGGCAGCATAGATATTGCGTCACTGTGTCAAACAATGAAGAGACGTAACCTGACAACTAAAGCTACCTTTATTAATTCAGGAAAGAAAACAGTCTAAAACCCATGAAAATGAACCTCGTAAGTCATAACCCTATAATAGCCAAAATAGTTGTTTGGCTATAATGCAAGGTAGGCAACTCCAAGACAGACAAATTTAGACATTGCAGAAGGATCAAAGAAATAAAGTGAAATCTTCAAAATCATCCAACAATATAAATTAGATCCTTATAAAGACAGAACAATCTCTTAGGTACCAATATATGTTTTGAAGGATCAAAGAAATCAAGCGAAATCTTCAAAACCATCAGCAACATAGATTAGATAGTCATAAAGACATCACATAAAGCGTATAGAATGAACACATAAGTCAAAATAGAAGTCTGCTGGGTAGAAAAAAACATACCCCAAGAGCCTTAGAAATTGCAAGATATACACATTCTTTGCCAATACTATATGCCCCAACAACTACTAAAGTTCTGGGATGCAATTTGAGGTGGTTCTTTGTAATTTTAACAACATAATTGAGAACATCTTGCTTGGAAGGGAACCTGAAGCAGAAATTTGTCAGTAAGAACCATTAATCAACATTAAAAATAAATATATAAATAAATTAAAAAAATGATTATTAGTGTGTTTGTTTAACAAAGATTCCAAATTCCAGAACCCCGTTGAACGGAAAAACTCTCTCACAAAACTTCTCTGTTCAACGAAGAAAACCAAGAAAACAAACATGCATATATATATATATATATATATATATAAAGTTATAACTGAACAAGATCTTTATAAACCAGATCAGGCTCTTACATGTATTTTGGGTTGCAATATGTGGTATCCAAATAAAGTACATTCACGCGTTGATTTACAAGAAGATGATAAGATTGCATTTGTTTACACGCTCTAAAGTCCCCAGTGTGCAAATAGCGTTGACCATTTGGGAGGTCAAAGTAAATCAAAGCTGCCCCAGGGCAGTGATTAGCTTCTAAAAAAGTCACTTTGACACCATCAATCACATGTTCAGTATTAAATTCCAAAGGGTGGATATACCTACACAAACAAACATAACAAAAGAACAAAAGTTAATTCCTTCACAGAAATGCTAGAAGGGAAAAACACGATCAAGTGCAGTTTGATTTGTCAGTTCATGTAAGCAAGCAATCTACAAACAAGGCACAGGAAACAAAAGAGTTCCTGAGTTCTTACAAAGGATTTACCGAGAGACACATTTGAACAAGCCGGCCTGTCAGAGGAGAGCAATATATAGGGCCATGCGACCATTTCTTGCTAAGGCCACCATAGTGATCACAGTGGAAATGACTAAGAAAATATGCCGAGCAGCCATCAACACACCCATAACGAAAAGCATCAACAGTGAACGTTGTCCCTATATTGACAAATAAAGTATATTCATTTAGAACATTCAGAAACCACACGGTTTTACATAACAGAATAGAACAAATTAAAATAAAATCAAGATGCAACTACCGCCAAACTTATTGCCCAATTAGTTTGTTTCATCACTCTCACTGACTTAACCAAATTACAATTGTGGATGAACTTGTTTCATTAAGTTGGATCACTGACTCAACTTGAATTAGTGAAGAGTTCTGACATGTTTGGATAAATTTCTCAATAAGCATTTAGAAAAAGAAAGCAAAAACTAATATGCATAAGTTGATTTTAGCTTATAAAAGAAACCTAATGCATTTTATCTTCTGTTTTCTTCTATTATAAATGTTTAATGTAAAAGCTTATCCAAACAACACCCTACTATGATGGCTGTAAAAAATAAAAATAAAAACCTTCCTCTGAAATGTAACATAGCAAATTGAAAGAATACTCATTTCATTTCATTTACCTGGGATTTTCTTATAAAAGGGGCAGGAACGCGTAACCCTATTTTCACCACCGAAACCCTTCCTCTTGCGAGAAGATTTCGTGTTCTCGAACTCTCTCCCT